CACATTAGAATCACCTGGGAATCTTTTTAAAATCCTGATTTCTGGGCCTCATCCTCCGGAAATTCTGTTTCTTTGTTACTAATGTTGTGGCCCCAGAAATCAGGATTTTAAAAAGATTCCCAAGTGATTCTAATGTGCAGCCAAGGTTGAGAACCACTGCCTTAGAAGGTCACACAAGTGTTTGTCCCTGGGGTCTCCTGTTTCTAAGCTTTCAGGACTGAGTCCAGTTACTCTTGCTGCATAACAAACCATCCTCACATTAGTGGCCTGAGATCCTAGCTATTTTATTATGGGGAAGATTGGTCTTTCAAACGTGATGTTTGAGGTCTCAGTGGGAAGATGGAAAGGCAGGTGGTGGTGACTGAATGCCTGGGGAGCTGGAATGCTGTGAAGACCCATTAACTCCTGGCTCTAATGTCTGGACTGGAGAAGCACACTCCAGGACTACTGTCAGGAGTACTTACCGGAGGCTTCCTCACAGCATGGTGGCCCCAAGGTAGTCGGGCCTCTCACAGGGTGGGTCACAGCACCAAGCATACGTTCCAGCACACACGGTGAAACTGCATTGTTTCCTGACTTAACCTTAGCTATCAGGCAGCATCATTTCTGACACCTTTTAATGTTAAGTTAGTCACAAGCCCAGCTTCAGAGGTAGGGAGACACAGACCCTCCTTTCAATGAGATAATTGACAGAAAAGTTGTGACCATTTCTAGAAATCTGGCCCACTATGCGTCTTCACAAATAGGCCATCTGAATGCTTTTCTTTCTACATATACATTTAGAGCTTGAAGCCTTACTGAGTAATTTGACTCATTACTTGTTGTTTTCATTGTTTAGCTCTGAAGGCAATCTTATTTCTAGAGTTTTGGAGTCCCCTCATTTTCATTGCCAGTATGTTCCTCATATCAGGTATTGGACTCTGCTGTTTTACCAGCTGTGCAATGTTTGCCAGAGAAGGGGCAAACATTTCTTTCATTTTTGAAACAATTTCTTCTAAGATACAGAACTTGATAGGATCACAAGATTCTGTGGCTCAAGCAAGCATTCTACCAGGCTGTGGAAATGTGGGACTTCAATGTCACTCATAATTTTGAAACTAAATGTGAAATCTCAGCTGGGCTCCTGGACTCGGATAGTAACGTGGTATCAAAGTAGAAAAAAATTGATTGCTTTTATGTTATTGCTGGTGTGATTTATTTTAAATTCTG